AAGGAGATGCGCAGCTCGCTGGACAAGGTGAAACAGCTCATCCGCCTCATCCATGGCATCGACCTCTCCAAACCTGTAGACTCTGAGGCCACTGTGGGGGCCCTCTCCAATGGCCCAGACTGCACCCCCTCTACCAACACCGCCTCCACACCTGCTCCCTCCCCCTCCTCGCAGAGCTGCACAGCGAACTGTAACCAGGGGGAAGAGACTAAATAACAGAGCCCTCGAGGAGATGCCACAGTCCCAGCGACGAGGAGACTCTAGAAAAGCAAAGCCGGATTTCTTCTGGAAAATACAGAATTCTTTTGGTTCTTTGGTTCCAGAGAGAGAGAAGATGCTTGTGCCAGGTGGCACCCGAGTTTGCCAATTGATTCTTCTTATTCTGTGTGTACATGCAAAGATTGGACCATGTTACATGAAATAGTGCCAGCTGGAGGTTCTTTGCCAGCACCATGCCAAGTGAAATAATATATTTACTCTCTCTATTATACACCAGTGTGTGCCTGCAGCAGCCTCCACAGCCACGGTGGGTTTGTTTTTGTTTTGTTGGGTGGGGAGCAGGGACGGGCGGAGGGAGGAGAGCAGGTTTCAGATCCTTACTGGGAGCCGTTTGTTTAGGTAGAAAAGACAAGTCCAAAGAGTGTGTGGGCTTTCCTGTTCCTAAACTTTCACTACCATAAAACCAAAAAAACAAAAAAGAGAAAAAAAAAGAGAAAAAAAAGGAAATAGAGGTTTAACTAACCCAGTGCCCAGAGGAGGGCTGGGGAAGGCTGGGGGGGGAGCAAGGGTGGGAAAGTATATGACATAAGCAGTATTTAATGTTTCCGGAGGGGCCCTAGTGCCAGGAGAGCCCAGGTCCCCCTCCCCAGCTCCGCTCTCTCCACAGCCTCCCGCACCCTTCCTTCCCTCTGCTTGGTGAAGTGCACAGCCCCAGGTGGTCCCCGGCCTTGCTGAGGCAGGGAAGGGAAGGTGTGTGTGGTCCAGGAGGGAGAAAGGCGGATCAGAGGTTTTACTTGAAAACAAGCTCCATCCTTTTTCTATATTTATAAGAAGAGAAGGTTCTGAGCAGGGCAGCGTGACCCAGATGAGTGGCACGACCAGGTGTGTGTGAATGGAGACAACCCTTTTCTCTTCTTCAAGCTTACTTTTTGTTTCTGTACTTGTTTTGTTTAAACCAAGTTTTATTTCATGGTTTATTTTACCTTTTTTGTTTTTGTTTTTGTAACAAGAACTAAAATGAGGAATAGAAAGCTGTCTTCAGGCTGACGGTCCTTTAAGGGTAGCGAGACCTTGCATGGTAGAGTAGCGTCACAGTGTCGGTGAGGTCAGTGAGTCTTTGTGCGTCCTGTGTCATCGTTCAGGCACCATTTGGTTTGTTTGGTTTTGGTTTTTTTTGTTGTTGTTGTTGTTGTTTTGGTTTTTTTTTTTCCTTTCTGGTGTTTTTTGTTTTGTTTTTTAATGCAAGGGCAAAAAAAAAAAAAAAACTCTTTGTACCTGGGGAAAACAACAGCAACTTTCTTTTTTTAATTAAAAAGGAAAATAAAAGATATTGAGGTCTTCCTAGTGTTACTTAAATTAAGATCAAGGTAAGAAACATTGTAAAAAAAAATTACAAAAGTGCTATTTGTTTCCTAAAAAAAAAAAAAAAAAAAAAAACAAAACAGTGATTTATATTAAAAAAGGTGTCAGAACTGGAGAAAATGCCGTGTAGTTATAATTTTTTAGCACAGAACCTGCTGACCATGATGACATTTTGTGTTTGTGTCTCTAGACTGGTGGGCCAGTCTTCAGAATGTCAGGTCCTCCCGCCTCCTCCATCCTCAGACTGTGCTGTCTTTTTTGATACAGGGATCGAATCTCCTGTGTTTGAAGCCAAAATGGAGTGTGCATGGTGTGAGGGCCTCCCTCCCCACGGTCTCAGACCTTGCTAGAATGCAGGCTGGTGCCCACCTAAGACCTTCCTTTGGTGCTGCTCTCAGTCTTACAGCCACCAGCATTCCGTATGCCTCGGGGGCGCCTTGGGGAACTGACCAGTGAGGCTCCTTGCTGCCTGTACACTTGGCCTGTGGGGTGGGGTAGGGTGGGGTGGGGTGCAGGCTGGCTGTAGCAGAACTAAGGAGGGGGTCCCTTGAGGGCTCATATGTCTCTCAGAGTCCAGGTGGCCTTCGAGTCCATCTTGCGTTGAAGAGAGAGGTCTGCAGCTCTAGCTGTCCTCTGCCTCCTGGCACCAGGGT